ACACTGCGTCAAACAATCTTTTCTTGGCTCTGATTAAATTCCTCAAATGACCCCTGACACAGCAACAAGTCCAAATATTAAGATTATTATAAAAACTAAGCCCAACACGGAGAGAGTCTAAACATGTCAGAATGAGGGTTCATGGACTTCAAAGAGGATCAAGAACCATGAAAAATACATCCTGAAGTTGAAAAGCCGCGCACAAAACTTAGCTTTAAAACGATGCTGCAATTTCCAAATGATTTTGCTGAATGGACCAGATGCTTTCAGAGCTCTCACATGGCAGCTTTAATTCTGCTTTTGAAATGGAAAAGGTCTTAGTTCAAAGCGTGGAGAGAAATGGAGAGAATTGACGTGACTAACACACCAGCTTTTAAACGTCTACTTTCCATCAAAACATTAATCTTGTGAAATGTGAGTGGAGAATATTTGGGTCAAAGAAGTGGTTCTGCATTTAACAAACTGTTTGTGACGTTAAAACAGGTGGTTTTCCCCTTTTTACATTTCCTCCTGATGATGTGTTTTAAACTCAGACCTTTTTAGACCAAAACGAATCATCCCAAGATCAGTGTTATTGTCTTCGCTATTTGCAGTAAAACCACATTGAGATATATCCGCCAAAGTCCCCAGTACAAGTACAAGACAAGTACACAATTATAACAAGGTTAAAAATGCAGAAATAAACAAGGTTAAAAGTACGGAAATAAAACAAATAAAAACAGGAAACAAGTGTCTCTGTGAAATGGATCAAACTAAAACAGTTTCAAAACAAAGGCAAGATCATTTAAAGTGCTCTGTTTAAAATGATAACAGTTTGTGGAAAGAAACGAGATGTCCTGTATCTCAACGAACGATATCTTCTGCCAGAGGGAAGAAGCTGGAACATGGCTTTTCCAGGGGCCAGAGGAGTCAGTGATTGTTCTAAGAGCTCAGTTATGTAGCTTCAGAGGATTGTATCTTCACTATTGTTCTTGCATTGTGATTATCAATTATTTATTCATTGATAGATTTTTTCTTGTGTTGTGTAGCCCTTTGGCGTAATGCACTATTTTATGTGAAAAGCACTCAGCAAAAAAATGTGTGTCGCAAAACAGCCAAAACGATAAAGAAACACAAAACAAACATAACTAAATCCAGGATTAACAGAACTCCAAACTCAAACCAAGACGAAACAGGGACAAAACACAATGGACTAAATACACACAGGGACACATTAGGGCGGGACACAATCACCTGAACAGGAAGTAACACTCAAAAGAACCAATGTATCCAAATAAAACCAGTTAAAAGTGATCAAAAGTCCACACCATCACAGATTGATTGATTTTTATACAAAGTTCACTTTTACTCGAGTATTGGTGGTTTTTCCATCTGTACATTCAAATACAGGTAAATACTTCAACAAACAAACCTGAACCCAGACGGTGAGTCAGAGCTTTCTCAAACTTTTTTGTTCTTTACCAACCATGACCAAATAAGGTTAACCAACGAGAATATATGTAAAATACTGTTCACGCAGAGTTAAAAAGATCAATTACATTATTCTTTTGGTCCTTGTCGCAGCCTGAGATCCGTGAGCAGTTTCTGTAGATCTGGACACATGCAGGAGAGCGGCTCAAACAGACTTCTGGATGATTGTGATTCCGTTGCAGCCGCAGTCGTCCCCGGTCGCCCTGCGCTCAGATCCACGGTAAATATAACCTTTAGTTTGGCCTGGACATGTGTGCACTCCCAAGCAGGCTGCAGACTGATGGCTCTTTCCTCTGGACTTTTTCTCTTATTTTGCATCAAATCAAACTCATTTATTCCATCAGACCCTTGAGTCCACTTTAGTTTGTGCAGATATATAGAATAAAAAGGTTTGGGGCCAAGGTCACACTCATCACCTCTTTACCTCCGAAACATGTCAGGTAATTAAGCAGTACTGTCTTCTTTACACTTTTGTTTTATTAACAGACTTAAAAGAAAACATGATTCACTTTATACGTTTAGTTACTCCTCGCTCTGACGCAAGATATATATTATTTAATGTGTTTTATTTACGTGCAGAAAATGAAGCCCAGGAAATTGGGTCCGGCCCCGACATCAGGCAGATGTTCTAACGTTTACCCACGTCTGCCCACGTTTACCCACGTCTGCCCACGTCTGCCCACGTGTGCCCACGTCTGCCCACGTTTACCCACGTCTGCCCACGTCTGCCCGCGTTTACCCACGTCTGCCCACGTTTACCCACGTCTGCCCACGTCTGCCCACGTCTGCCCACGTTTACCCACGTCTGCCCACGTCTGCCCACGTCTGCCCACGTCTGCCCACGTCTGCCCACGTCTGCCCGCGTTTACCCACGTCTGCCCACGTTTACCCACGTCTGCCCACGTCTGCCCACGTCTGCCCGCGTTTACCCACGTCTGCCCACGTCTGCCCACGTCTGCCCACGTCTGCCCACGTTTACCCACGTCTGCCCACGTCTGCCCACGTCTGCCCACGTCTGCCCACGTCTGCCCCGCGTTTACCCACGTCTGCCCACGTTTACCCACGTCTGCCCACGTCTGCCCACGTCTGCCCACGTCTGCCCGCGTTTACCCACGTCTGCCCACGTTTACCCACGTCTGCCCACGTCTGCCCACGTCTGCCCACGTCTGCCCCGCGTTTACCCACGTCTGCCCACGTCTGCCCACGTCTGCCCACGTCTGCCCACGTCTGCCCACGTCTGCCCACGTCTGCCCACGTCTGCCCACGTCTGCCCACGTCTGCCCTGTACTGATGCTTCTGCGGTGAAACTGAGGATCAGGGGCTGAATCAAAGAGGTTCATGGATATCTTTGCATTCTTTACAATTTGATTACAGATTACTGATGGTGATACCCACTTATTTTCTGGTGGGTGTTGATGGTTGAAGTAGGCTGTTGACTGGTTTGCCAGAGTGTGTTGAATTCAAGTTTTAGAATAAATGGCATGATCCTTTTCTTGAGAGAGTTGGCTGGTTGAGGTATAACATAGTAGCTATGTTAACATATTACCATCAATGCTGCAAGTTTCAAAATCAGTTCAGGGGCCACAAAAAGGATCTGGTGGACCGGGTTTGTCCCGCGGGCCTTGTGTTGAACACATGCTGTAGAGGGAGTGTCCATAGTGTTTGACAAAGTTGGAAGAAACCAATCAGAAGAGCGTCTACATTAGGATTTTGTTACAGGGTGACCTACACGCAGTTGCAGGGGCAGTATGTGTTGCTATGGTGTTGCTAAGGTGTTGAAGGGATCTGATCAGGATCATAGAAAACACTAAACCAACAATTGTTGAGCTTAAAGTGGTGAGTAACAGTTATACAGTGATAGTTAGAAAGCGAGAGTTTACTTATGGACAAAAGTCGATGGGAGTCAAAGCTTTGTCAGTCCTTTCCTATTTTACAGTCTGTGCTCCTCACGCAGAAAGTTCCCATGTCTCCTTTAAAGAATGCTAAAGCGTAGTTCAAGTCCCTGTGAGAGCAGGAGCAGATGTGTTTGACAGGGCTTACCTCGCCTCCCCTCTGTCTCTCTCTATTCTCTGCTTTTCTTTTCTCTTCCGGAACTTCAGAGGTTTTGTTGTGGCATTGGGAACGTGCACCAGGGAACGAGTCAACAACATCTAAAAGAACAAGAAGACTTTTAAAACAACAAGTTTGTCGCAAAACTGTGCACTTCAACTACTTCAAAGCAAATTATGTAACGCATTGGAAGCATTTGTTCTCTAAATAATATTTATGAAATGCTTTATTTTATAATAATGACAGCCTTTCCACAATAGAAAACTTCTTCTCGCCTCAATATGTCTGTTCTGAGCCTTAGGAATGGAATAACCGAGTATGATGTCACCTAAAGTGTACGTCTTAAAGGGAACAGGGCTGAATGTAAAGCACCAACATGGCAACAGACGGCCATCTTTGGTTTGACAATTAATTGGTCAATTGTTTGGGCTCATGTGTGGATTCCCAAAGACACTGTAAACACCAGGGGCAAAGGAGAGCGCTGTTCCACCCATGGGCACAGGGGGCGCTGTGGTACTGCAGACTAAATTCACAAGGGCTACACAGAAAAATGTCCCATAGAACTCAATGTAAACTAAAACAGCTTGACCTCAGCTGACAGAGAACCTGACAGAGAACCTACAGCTTTCTAAAACGTCGGATTTTGTGGATATTTTAGTTTGGTTTTCTATAATTCCACACTTCAATGCAACAACCCCTACTCGCTCCCGCTCTACCTCTGCTCTGATCAGCAGCTCTGATTGGTCAGAACACTGCCCTTTGATTGGTCACAATGCTGCCCTCTGATTGGTCAAAGCGCGGCCAAGCCCCACGTGCATGAGAGCCACACACGCATATTTGGGGCATTGCATCATGGGAGCTCATCCACGATGCCCAAATAGTTCCACTAATTTCCACTAATTTTTCGGTCCCCATGTATGTCCCATGCCCTACAGAGCACAAACTGTTGATTTGAACAGGGCGCCATCTTGGATCACCAGGGCTTGCCCACAACAATTATAAAGTGCTTGGTGACTCTTGTCTGTCAAAGGCCCTGTATAAATAAAGAAGCCTGTCTCACATTTTCAGGAAGACTGTTCCAGATTTGTCCGGTTTGAATCTCATCTGCGGCCTCTCCATGTTTTCCAATGTTGTCGTGTCCGCTCTTTGGACGCCTCGGTGGGAACAGGGCTCAGATTAAGAGTTGCCTCCTCAGCCTCACAGCTCTCTGGTGTTTTTGTGTCTTACAAACTTGTGTTATTGTTGTAGCGGCGCTGAAAGAGTCTTTGGCCCAATCTCAATTCTCCCCCTTAGCCCTCCGCTTAGCCCTTTCCCTTCGTTGTGCGCGTTCACGAGAGACGAAGGGCTGTCCCAATTCTATTTAGCGGTGAGGGGTAGGGGTGAGGGAGAGGGCCACATAGCCCTTCCAGCGAGGGTTTTTCAGATGCACACTTCAGACGAAGGGGTAGGAGGAGTTTCGTGCTGACCCGCACCAAGAAAACATGGCGCCGACCGACTCGTACAAATGTAAGCATGTTTTGCTAATTTTAACGTTAAATAAACTATAAGAACGTGTTTTGTTTTGATGATAAGTTTGAAATGTACATATTACGGCAGAATGTAGCTTGTCAGACGCATGTCAATCGCGCTGTTGTTGTTACGGACTCGGAGCATAACGAAACTTGTCATATAAACTAATATAACTACGATTATAGCGTTATCATTCTCATTTCTGTTGTATCGTGAGCTTTTAATACGTGTGTCTTTTCAACAGGGTCCCCTGAGCTCACGCGGAAACTCATACGTTTCAGAGCTGAAAACGAGGAGAAGTTTTTAAAGTCCAGATATAGCGCCAAAAAACAATGGGAGTACGTTATTTTATGCATGTATTTCACAGTAATAATAAATTAATTGCATGACATTTATCATTGGTTACTTTTGTTTAGGATCTTTTTAAAGGAGAACGGGCTGGAGGGGATAGTTCGTCCAGATAAGGCTTCCAAAAAGTGGGAAAACTTAAAAAGGAAATATAAGGTAAGAAATACAATACCTCTACATACTCTATGAAGACACAACGTAATATTAAAGTTTATGGCATTATTTTTGTGTGTGTGCCAGGAGTTAAAACTCCTGAAAACAGGTTGGGATGTAAAGGGAAATATGGTTGGGGGAATGTTAAAAAAATAGGTTGGGGGATGTAGAGAAATATGTTGGGGGGGATGTTGAAGAAATATGGTTAGGATGTAAAGGAAATATAGTTGGGTGATGTAAAGGAAATATAGTTTGGGGATGTAAAGGGAAATATAGTTGGGGATTAGAAGGGAGAATATTGTTGGGGATGTAAGGAAATATGGTTGGGGGATGTAGAAGGAAATAAGTTGGGGGATGTAAAGAAATGATGGTTGGGGGATGTAGGGTTGATTGTTGGGTTTGTGGTTGGGGAAAGATTAAATTTGGTGGAGTGAGGGATTATAGTTAAAGAGGGTTGAAAGGGGGAAAGTAGTAGATTAATAGGTGTAGAGGTATGAGGGTTATTGGGATGAAAAAGGAGGGAGGGAAGGGAGTGGGGTTGTGGAGGTTGGTAGTTTTGAGTGGATTGGGGGGGGGGTTGAAAAGGGGGGGGTGGGGTGAGTGAAGAGATACTATTTTTAGGGGGATTGGATGTAGATTGTGATAGTGCGTATGGAAAGTATTTTGGGTGGGTTGGTATTGTATGTTTAAAGTGAGTGGGGTGTGAGAAGTGGAAGGGAATTGGTGTGGGGTGGGGGGTTATGGGGATTTTGTAGAGATGATTGGATAGAGATGGTTGTTTTATAGGGTAGGGTGTGGTTGGTATGGGGGGATGAGGGTTTAGAGATGTAAAGATGGTGGGGAAAAGGGGGTTAGCGAGGTGAGAAGATTGGAGGGGTTTGTGGTTGTTTGTGAGAAGGTGGGGGTAGGAATATGGGGATGTGTTTGGGGAAAAAGTATATAGTGGGGGGGGGAGAAGGAGGGGAATGAGAAGAATAGAAGGTTAGATATGGAAGAAATTTGAATGTTGTTATTGAGTAAGAGTATTATTAGATAATAGTGGATGGAGGATGGAAGAATGAAAGGTGAAAGAAAAAGAAGAACAAGAGTAAGTGAATGAGGGAGAAAAGAAAGAAAAAATAGAAGATAAGGGGTGGAAGTAGATAAAAAGAAATGTAAAAAAAAAGAAGTATGAATATTGGAAGGAGAGGTGTGGAAAGATTGAAAGTGTTTTTTTGAAGGGGGGGGTGTATTTGATATTGGGGAGTGAATTATGGGAGGGGTTGAGTGGGGGGGGAGAGAGGAGGGGGAGGAGTAGGGGAGATGGAGAAGTTTGTGGAGAAGGGGATTTGAGAGGGGGGGATAGGAGAGGGAGGAGATATAAGGTGAGGGGATTATGGGGAATTGGGGGGGGGTAGGGGTTTGGGATTTGTTTTTTGAGGTTGAGTTGAGGTTGATAAAGGAAATATAGTTGGGGGATGTAAGGAAATATAGTTGGGGGATGTATAGGAAATATATTTGGGGGGATGTAGAGAAATATAGTGGGGGGATGTAAAGGAATATGGTTGGGTGATTAGAGGAAATATAGTTGGGGGATGTAAAGGATGAATAGTGTTGGGGGATGTAAGGAAATATATGGGGATGTAAAAAATAGGTTGGGGATGTAAATGAAATATGGTTTGGGATGTAAGGAATTGGTTGGGGGATGGTGAAGGAAATATAGTTGGGGGGATGTAAGAAGATATTGGGGGATTTAAGAGAAATATGTTTGGGTGATTTAGAGAAATATCGTTGGGGATGTAAGAAATATGTTTGGGGGATGTAAAGGAAATATGTTGGGGGGATGTATAGAAATATAGTTGGGGGATGTAAAGGAATATTGTTGGGGATGTAGAGGGGAAATATAGTTGGGGAAAATATCTATAAAAATTTATTGGTAGCATGTGTGAATAAATACTGTACAAAACAATAGATCATTTGAAAAAGGAGGATCAAAGTTAAATATTTAAATAACTCTTTATTGAAAGTGAATTTTCAGCAACCTGAGAACAACAATGATCCATGGAACCAACACAGAAAACATTTTCCCGTAACACACAGACTGAGCAGTCTGCAGCTCAGGAAGTAATAATGTCCTTAGAAGGAAATTTCTCAAAACACTTACAGGTGACGCTGCTGCGGCCTGTATCGCTTCTGTTTCTATTCTGTTCTAAATACAATAACAAGTAACGAATAAAGAACTGTTACGGAACCGGCACCAAAAAGCAGAGACCTGCAAGAACCTTGAAATACACAACATTATATAGTGTATGTGTGTGCTCTATATGGTGTGTAGGTCTGAATGAGGTCTGAATGAGGTCTGAATGAGGTCTGAATGAGGAGTGTAGGTCTGAATGAGGTCTGAATGAGGAGTGCAGGTCTGAATGAGGAGTGTAGGTCTAAATGAGGTCTGAATGAGGAGTGTAGGTCTGAATGAGGAGTGTAGGTCTAAATGAGGTCTGAATGAGGAGTGTAGGTCTGAATGAGGAGTGTAGGTCTAAATGAGGTCTGAATGAGGAGTGTAGGTCTGAATGAGGTCTGAATGAGGAGTGTAGGTCTGAATGAGGAGTGTAGGTCTGAATGAGGAGTGTAGGTCTGAATGAGGTCTGAATGAGGAGTGTAGGTCTGAATGAGGTCTGAATGAGGAGTGTAGGTCTGAATGAGGTCTGAATGAGGAGTGCAGGTCTGAATGAGGAGTGTAGGTCTAAATGAGGTCTGAATGAGGAGTGTAGGTCTAAATGAGGAGTGTAGGTCTGAATGAGGAGTGTAGGTCTGAATGAGGTCTGAATGAGGAGTGTAGGTCTAAATGAGGTCTGAATGAGGAGTGTAGGTCTAAATGAGGTCTGAATGAGGAGTGTAGGTCTAAATGAGGTCTGAATGAGGAGTGTAGGTCTGAATGAGGTCTGAATGAGGAGTGTAGGTCTGAATGAGGAGTGTAGGTCTGAATGAGGAGTGTAGGTCTGAATGAGGAGTGTAGGTCTGAATGAGGAGTGTAGGTCTGAATGAGGTCTAAATGAGGAGTGTAGGTCTAAATGAGGAGTGTAGGTCTAAATGAGGAGTGTAGGTCTGAATGAGGTCTGAATGAGGAGTGTAGGTCTAAATGAGGTCTGAATGAGGAGTGTAGGTCTAAATGAGGTCTGAATGAGGAGTGTAGGTCTAAATGAGGTCTGAATGAGGAGTGTAGGTCTAAATGAGGTCTGAATGAGGAGTGTAGGTCTAAATGAGGTCTGAATGAGGAGTGTAGGTCTGAATGAGGTCTGAATGAGGAGTGTAGGTCTGAATGAGGAGTGTAGGTCTGAATGAGGAGTGTAGGTCTGAATGAGGAGTGTAGGTCTGAATGAGGAGTGTAGGTCTGAATGAGGAGTGTAGGTCTGAATGAGGAGTGTAGGTCTGAATGAGGTCTGAATGAGGAGTGTAGGTCTAAATGAGGAGTGTAGGTCTAAATGAGGTTGGTCTGAGGTCTGTAGAGGCACTTTCAGAGTCACTGAAAAAGCCTGTTTTTCAGTACAAGTGCCTTGTTCGAAAGTTTGCCTCCATCCAGTTCCATGAATATTTATTGAAACACCTCAAAGGTGTAGCGGAGGAATGTAGGCTACTGTAGGTTGAGTGCATAGATGAGTCCAAAAAGCATTGCAGTAGCCAATGCTACACTGTCCAGAGTCTATGACCTTAATTCCTTCGAGGACAATCCCAATGTCATTGCTTTCTTCATCTGCTCGGAAAATGTAGATTCCACATGTAGTTTGTTCTATGGCCTCATTACTGTTTTCATCCAAGTGCTGTAAAACAAAGATATGAAAAAGCAAGTCATTAATAAGAGAAAATTACATCAATGATCAAGGCTAGGGATCCCTTGCCTTGGCAACATAGTCTCTTCAAAAATTCCAGTTCCAACTTTTCTTTGAGCAATGTAGTCTCTTAAAAAAAAATTGTAGACATGCCCCAAATGCTCGACTTGAGGCAAAGACACTCCACCCACCTGGAGGGGTCAAAGCACCTTTCTGGGCTCAAGCACCATCGCCTCAGATTTGGAGTCGCTGATTGTCATCCCACAAACCCCAGGTTATCAAATAAATTAGATACATAAGACTAGGGTGAGGGCTGTATAATATATTTCAGAGATTTTTTTAGGGCTGAATTGGAGTAAGTGGTGCGTAAGGTATGGATGAGGGAGGATGAGGGTGGGGTAAGGGTGGTGGTTATTTTTTACATACCATATATTCCCGAACCAGCTGTTCGTGGTCTTCGCCCATATACGCACAGAGTCCCTTTAGGATGCACTCCCGCCTCACATGCACACTGACACCCTGAAAGGACATAACCAGCGGTAAAGAAATATCAACTGCAGTAATTAATTACTGTAGTAATAGTAATTAACTATTAAGGTATCACCAGTTATACATTTTTACAGTAGCCGTGTGGTCGGAGCTTTTATCTAGAGTTAGCTTAGCTCAGATGATACACACTTTTTTAAGGTCTGTCCAAGGAGCCATGAGCTGACTTGAGCCATATAGCATTAAAGGGGAAGGAGACCACTTACATCGGTCACTGGTGCCATGAGACTTTTGAGCTTTTGGCCCAACTGCCCCCCTCTCTTTAGAAACAGCTCACTCAGCTTAGCGGAGTAGAGATCCAGTCTGTACAGGAACTTGCACTGCAATGGGACGGTGGTGATCCTTTTGAATTCTGAATTTATCTGAAAAGGGGCAAAAGGACAAAGGAGGTCAGGTTGGAGGAAAACACCAGACTAACAGACATTGACCGTCTGTATTGAAGTAACGAATCCAATAGTGTGTGATATAAAATACTGACACAAACACACCCTTTCAAAAAGTCAATTTCCATTTTGTATGAACACAATGTTTCCCACACATTGTTAATACTTGTCAGTGCAGCTTAAATAAATAAATAAAAAAAACTTGACAAAATCAGTTTGATTTCTAAATGTGCATACCTAAATCTGCAGCTGCTCCGGGCTATGCCTCTTACATTAGTAACAGCTGGAATGCTACAACAGTAACCCTGCAGACAGGAGTCACTGCAGGTTCAGATTTTACTATTCAGAAACGCTACTTAAGATTTTTTTTATAGTACAAAATACAGTAATTTGGCATTTAGTAAAATGTTACTCTGAGAAAACTAACATTAGTAATATTAGACATACATCCTTTTTTTATTTGGCATGCTATTCATAATTGTCTCCTGTCATCTAATGATTTACAAGCAAGCTAGGAGTCCTTGCTATAAACAAAATGAGGAACGAAATAAACCTATGAGGTCCTGAACAAGGAGTTTCCTTACACAAGAGTTCTTCCAAAAAGGTCATTCCAGCTATGAGGTTCACCCACCACCCAAGTACATTATCAATTTGTGGGAAACACTAACAGCAGAAGAAACATGACTTACCACTAGTGTTGTAAGATCAGATATGTAGAATCGAGCAAGTAGGCCTGTGAATGAAAATAAACAGCAATTAGTGAAGTGCAAGCTTAGCCAAAAATATGGTGGTCCCTCATTTATCCCAAAATACAAGTATAGCTAACTTTCTTTATTACCATTAATATTATCACACGTCTTAAAGCTGTAAAATCCCTCAGTTCACTTATGCCTGGTGAACACTGCCTTGATTAGTGTTGATTAGACCTCACATCACAAGCGTGGGGAAAATCCTGAGCGGGTCACCTCAAAATTGTTCTAAAAATAAATCCCCAAAAGAGCGAGACCGCGAAAGGTGATGTTATAGCGAGGGACCACTGAATATCTAAGGAGATCAGTTGAAAGCCATGTCTAATAGATGTGTATGAAAAAAAATATTTTAATTGGGAATCATAGAGAATTAACTTAATCAATTCAAAGTAGAACTTGCACCATTTGGATGATCAAGTCATGTGGAAGGGCGTGACCGAATCACGTTCGAAATAATGTGATAGGATCATGTTTAGAGCTTGCTGCCGGCTAAAACTTGAGAAAATACTCACAATATGCAACTACTTTATAATAAGCCCCCAAAAAACATTACCTGAACTATAGTAAACGCCCCTTTGTCTATATTTGTGATGGAAGGAAAAGATTAAAATTCAATTACATCAGATACTGTTCATAGCTACACTGTAAAAAAAAAATTGTTAATTTTACGGAAAAATACCGGCAGCTGCGGTTGCCAAAACACTACCGTTAAATTACGGTACAACATTACCTTCACTTAACAGTGATACAGTTAATTTCACAGTTGAAATATGTGTTTGTTACAGTATTTAACCGCTAAAAAAAGAGTCACGGAATTTTTAAAAAACAATGTTTAACCTGAAAAAGTACATGGAAATTTGTTTTTTCTACTGGTTTAACACCATCATTTTTAAATTTAACCACTTTGTTTGTTACGGTAAATTACTGAATTAGTTGAGGTACTACCGTTAAAAAAAATGTAGTTAATTGTTACCATGGAAAGTATTAACATTCCAAAAAATGTTATTTTAAATAACATTTAGATAAAAATTAATATCAAATTTGATGGGCAACTCTTTATTGACAATTTGTGGTGATGTAAATATCAACTTGAATTAAACAAAATATCAAAGAATGAAAAGTACATTGTGTAAATGTTCATATGTTCGCTTTCAGTGTCCAAACTTCAAAACCAAATATTTTTGGCCAGAAAACCCCTTTCAAACAGTTACGTGTACTTTTGTGGAACATGGCTAATCACAAGGTGGCATCAGTGAACACAGTGTATTATTTTAAAGAGCATCAAAATAAAAATCATCCCTAAAAAGGAAATGAAGTGCAAAAGTTGCAAAATAAAAGTCAAGAAATACTTTCTGTATGACTGAACAGAATGGTGAACAACATGTGTAGTAAAGATGATTACAGAAATTCTTACTGAGCAGAATCTCTTCCCCATGTTCACATCTAGAACATAGCAGAAACAACCAGGTCTACCTCAACATAAACAACAACAAATTTAGTAAAGATGAACATTTACAAACTACCAGTGTATCATTGTCATATTGTCAAAATCAAATCCTAAAAAAGGGAGCAAAAGTGCTATAATCTAGCAGAACAAAACTTTCTGCACGTTCACGCCTCAACTTGAACAAATAGGGGTGAGAACCCCTGGGCAACTCACAATTCAATACGCGATACAAAAACAGGTGTAAGATTAACATGCACACACTGTACCAGACAATTTATCTTCTAAACTTTACTTACAATGTCCAGCATACAATTTTTTAATTATCCCTCAACATCACTGGAAGGTCCACTCATGGTCAGCAAGGTCAGCGATCAAAGTGAAGACTCTGGGATTGACTGCATACACCTTTTTCTTCTTCTTCCACTCGACTTTGGTGCCTCTCTCAGGATTTATTGAAAAGAAACACCTTTATGAGAGAGAGAGAGAGATTTACCTCAGGTAGGATATCAGATACCTTGCATTTTGTGATATTTTAAAGAGAAAGACATTTTACCTTTGGAGGAACTCCAGTGTAGATCGTAGTTCCACTGGGTAGTGTATGTTGAAGCAGTAGTAACTGGCAAACATCAGGCAAATAGCAGAGGTAAAGGAAATGATGTGGTCGTTGACAATCTCTTGGTCGATGCTCAACATAAACCTCTCAGCAGCGAAGCAGGATGGTCCTAACAAGGAATCCAAAATAGACAAAAAATATTGGATGAGTCATACAACTGACAGAACTTGAAATCAGGTACATTATTAGTCAGTGTCTCAAATTAAGCTGCAAGCTACAAATGAATGTTAGTATAGCGATGAAAGCTTGCAGGTTTGCTTTAGTGAACTCACCACACACAATGAGGCAGGGTGTAGGTGGCACATTCTCCATCTGAACATCCTCAGCAAGGCTGGTCTTATCGATGAACTGTAGGAGATGCTCTTCCTTCTCAGCAAAATGAGCCAGCAAGAGCACCACCATCTCAATGAGCTCCTCCGAGGTACCAGTGGACTGACCCCTTTCGTTTTGAATCTTCAGAAGAGCATCCAGAACAGTTGTGCGTTTCTGTGCGTCAACACGTTTGAAGTAGTTCATGAGACGTGCCCCCTTTTTTTCCACATTTGCCAGGAAAGATTCCTTCAAACTCACACCTGTCAGTTCTTTAAAGTGTACAGACATGCCATCTTCCTCGAACAAACAAGGCCAATCCTGCCTTAACTTTGGGATGCTTGCGCCTTTATTGATTTCTTGGCGTTGTGTGAAATAGGTGGATTTCGTTAATTCCTTCACTGTATCTGCACTCATGTCTTTAGACATCTGAAGCTTTTCTTTTTTTTCTCGCTGACTTTTTTCATCCTCAGGTAGTGGCAGATATTTCGGCATCCAATTTACACATCCATATGTGTCTTGACCACTTGCTCGTTGTTCTGCTGTTATTTCGTCCGTGTCGTTGTCTGATCCAACTTTTCTTCTTTTTATTTTTGGTGTGTCAGGTCTTTTCACATTTTCAACTCTTGATTGGATTTGCTTTGCTAGGGAATGGTGTCCAAGTCCAATAACATCCCCATCAATTACATCTTGAAGAGATTTTGGATATCTCGCCACCATCCGTTTTGCTATCTCTGTTGTGTTGTGTTTGGTTGGATTCTTACAAATCCTCATTATTTCAGAAACCACGATCCTTACCATCTGTCGTCTTAATCGCGCACTTGGCCTTTTCTGTCTCTCCAAACTCTGCACTAACTCTTCAGGAAGCTTCTGCCATGGAATTTGAAAATGTTGTTCCCAGTTTGAGGCAGGTGAATTACATCTTTGGGATGTGGATGGTGATGCTCTGGATGTTGATGGTGAGGTCGTGACTGAGGAGGGAGAGGACATGAGAAACACTGGAGAAGAACATGCTGGGGACGGAGTTGGAGTGAAAGAGTCTGCAAAAGCACAACAAAAACATTTTTAATATTACAACATATTCATTAACTTTACAGAATAGAATGTTGATACATTTGTGAACAGAAAACCATTAGCAAAAATGATGGCATATGTACAAGTCAAAAATAAAGGAGAATGCCAGTGTAAAATATATATATATTTTTTACATGTTTTTTATCACCATGGGCACTCGTCAGGGTCATTTATCTTCCCTGTCAACAACAGAGGCATTAGATGATGCGCTATTTTTAACATTATGCCTGAAAATGCTTTGAACGCATTTCTGAACGTTGGAGAAAAATTTTGTATTCACTGTTTGCAAAACCATTTTTGCAGAACGTGAATTTAGAAGTTTAAAACTTACACTCCCTTACTGGCCATCTTTGAGAGACATGACGTTACCCAGAACCATAAATGTAAACAAACTGACCAACTGTTTTTGACGGAAGGCGGTGTGTAGCCTACACATTTCAACAATACCACAACTTTCTGAACAGAAAAAGATTTATTTCAACTTCACAACAATTTTACACTGAATTCTCCTTTAATGTACTTATAGAGAAAAGTGTGCAGTGTTGTAGTGTCAATGCTTTACACTCACGGTTTGGGGCCCAAGCAGCAACCAATCTTCTGGCTTGTATGGGTTTTAATACTGGCAGCAAGTCTCCTTCTGTAATGTACTGTAAATCTTCTGTCTTTGCTGCACCAAGTGCGTTCAAAGTATCTTCAACTGACTTGACGACTTGATCAGGCAAATCAGGAAACACAGCTAGAACAGCATCGGTTATCCTCTGTGATTCAGTCATATCTGTTAAAGACACATAAAAGAGAAAGTGTTCCATAATGGCTTTTTGATTTAGTGTGACAAGAGACTGTGCTTCAATGGGACAACTTGGGATCCATTGTCTAAGTAATGGTGTAAAGGCCACATGTCAATCAGTTCACCAACATGTTTGCACTCTAATCTTCCACTGCTGTTTTTTACAGAGTACATGTGCAAGTGTGAGAGAAATTCTCCATCATGCATTCTCATCAGAAAATGAAGAGTAAAATCATCTTTAATGAGAAGGAGGATGATTTCACCAAACTCCACTGAATCATCATTTTTTGTAACAACAAACTGTCCTTTCTTGTACATTATCCCATTATACTGCACATTGACAGAATTTTTTGTATTGGTTTCATTGAAGCCAAATCGAAGGATTGAGTCTTTAACTTGCTCACTGTAAAGCTCTGGGTAAAATGGTGAGCCATCTTGTATTTGCAGTGCCTGAGGACTCACTGATCCAGCAGAAAGAAAGGCCTGAAACATCTGATGCCTCTCCGAAAGAGTCAAACACAGATTTTTGAAATTCTTCAGATGCCTTGTACATCTTTTGAAATAACTGTGTTTACTCTCGAAACGCAGAGTCCATAACCTCATGAGCGGGCCAAATTTCAGGATCAGTCCCGGATAGTGGCGCATAAAATGGTGTTTAGGTCTTAATTTGATAGATGGAAATAGTGCCTTCCTTGTTTCCAAATACTCTTGGATGAGAACATCCAGGTAAGCAACCTGAGCTTTAGAAATCTGCTGAGCACAAATCAGGTCAACAATGTCCTTAAGCTGCAAAAGTAACTGCCACACATCATCTTGGGGGTCATGCACTTTATCACCAATTATCAGGGGCAGCAGTTTCAGGAAATTCCAATTTTGGACAGCATGTCCACTCAGTTTGAGTGTTTGAGGGCTTACCTCACAAGGTTTGGAAGAAGCATCTGTTGCTTTGTATTTGAACTGCTTGATTCGCCTGTTCAAAAGTGCGTATGTAAACCATTTCTTCTTTTTGATAAAGTAATTGAGGTACATAGCAACATCATAGGAGAGGACACCCTCAAAAATGTCATGTCCCAGACAGGGGGGCATGCCAGGTGAACAAACATCAAAGTTTTGCAGAGTATTAAATACTGACTTAAACTTAATACCTCGTACGTGTGGCACGTCCCCTGACTCCAGCTGTTCAATGGCGGATTGGTAGGTTTCTGGAGTCCGCTCCTGTCCACAGAAGTTAGGATCAGCACCCTGAAATTCAGTTCGAGTAATCAGACAATATCTGCAGAAGTACTCAGATGAACTAAAATTTTCCGTAAACCCGCCAATGGTGTGAGAACCCAGGTTGTCTCCAGCAATACAGTACAGAGATCCCTTTAAAACTTCATCTCCCACTGTTATCCCATTTTCCTCAAGTTCTTTTAAATCAGAGAGCAGTTCAGAAAAAACCTGTGCATGGCCAAAGTCCTTGAAATCCTTCTCTCTACACAATAAAACCAGCTGCATGTGGTCAACATTTGATCGTACATGAGGGGGCATGTTAAGGAGAGAGAAGTAAACAGCCAAAACCTTATGCTTCTTTTTAGCAGAGCCTAACGGGTTAACAACTTCAAATGCGTCCTGGTATAAAACCAGCTTCAGACAGCTTGGGTTTTCCTGAAAAAATCTGTTTGACATCAGCACTTTGCCATCATAACAGTCAGAGAGAACATCTGATTTGGAAACACTAACATGATCCACTGACATAAGGCCCTGCCAAAAACCGGACTCCTGAATGCTCTTTAACGTTTTTAGCAAAGGAATGTAATAGGCACACCTCTCCACCCTATTCTCATCTCTGCCCAAAATTATTTTTTTGGGATCCACATATTTGAACATGTCTTTGAAGCACTGAGTTCGTGAGTACGGCGTTCTCATAGGCCCTGTGTGGCAAGCTGTGAACAGATCAGATTCTTTTATTGTATTGCTGATTTTTACAATATCGTCATCTGAAACAGACATATCTTTCAGAAGCAAGTTTAGACTATTAAAAGTATAGGACTGTCCTAGGTCATGTATATTTTGCATTTCTTCAACAATGCTTTGAATGGTAGATACTGGAAGGAGATGCTGTCCTTGTAGTTTCATATAAAACATGCATATATTTCTCAGATACAGGTCACTAAAATTTGACCCATCCCCTACAGTGTCTTCTGCATCGGACACACAAGCCGGTTCCAGCATTGTAGCAGTGGAGCTGGCACAGTGTGTATCGATTGAAGCACATGTCACATTTTCTGACCATTGTCGGTGCTTTCTGGACATGTGAGAGGTAAAAGACGATTTTCCTGTGAACACGTGTTTGCATTCACTTACTGGGCACACTACTTGGCGCCCTTCTGCAATGTGCTCCTTTAAGTGAGCAATCATGGATTTAGTTCCCTCACACTGACGGTCACAAAGTGAGACAGTGCATTTTAATGATGTCACGGCCACATTTTGAATAATGTTGACGGTTTGTGTACTGTTGTGGTGGCGATAAAAGTGCGACTTTAAAGCTGTATAGCCTGAAAACCCCTGCTTACAACTTGTAGCAACACATTTAAAAATAATTCGGGGTTCATTGCGGTGCAATCTGCAATGCAGGACATATGCTTTAACAGACTTAACATTTTCTCCACATATGGTACAAGAATACATCTTCCGTAAAATAGGCTCCACTAGTGATGGGACATAAGGCCGTTCACTTTTTATGCTCCTGTAGCCGCCTCTTCCCTCACGGACCCCGAGCACCTTTTCTCTTCTGTGGCCCGGGAGAGTGCTGGCGCTAGTGGGAGCGTTCGGGCACTCTCTCGCCTTTTCCTCTGCTTCCCCGCACGCAGTGCTAACTCCCCACGGCCGTTCGTTCACAAACTGTCCCTCTACCACTCCTCTCTCCGCCCCACTCCAACAGTGACTTTTTTTCGCTAAATAAACATGCACAACTAAAGTGATGCCCCTTCCCCATAGATGAATCAAATATATATCGTTTACTGTAAGGACAAAAGAGCCGGATCTTTCACGACCGAACCATATGCTCTTAACCTACACGAACTGCGTGATTAGCTAACCAGGGACTTCGTTTAGCTATATCCAAAAACAGTCAGACAAGTTTAAAGGTTGCACATAATACACGCTTCACGTAACCACATAAGCATGTATTACACTGTCCAGGTCTGTACCAGCAGTAAAACTCTAATGAAGTTAGCCGTAAAGCTACAATAGTATTAGCTAGCGTGCTAGTGCAACCCTCTTGACAGACCTAGAATTTCCATTTACTTACCGATCACTTCGAATATTCCGCTTCTGGCTGAGGTGGTCAATCCATGAAATCCAG